CTTAAACGATGAAAATCTGCGCAATATCTAAATAGGGATGGAGAACACCCTACAAGGAAATGAGAAAGCAACTGAACATGCAGTCATGAAAGAGCTTTCCAGACACAGTTAAGGAAACTGCTCACTCTCTTTCTGATGGAGACAGGCACATTTCAGCTGCTCCATTCTACACAAAACTATACAAACTATCCACAAAGTTTAAGTATTTTCTATGAAATAATGACAGAATCTTCCAGTTTCGGGTCTGAAAAGGTAACAAATCACCCTCTCCTAACTAAAATGCGTTAATCTAGTAAAGATGCTACTGTAACCAGAATTTTTTTCCCTGCTAGAATTAGTAAATTCTCACAAGATTAAATGTCTAAAGGTTTAGAGAGAAACCAGACAGCCTGAAGGCACCAGGTTTTTGTGTTTTTTTTTTCTTTAAGTCAAGTTGTTCCAATTCTGTATTGTTAGACTAATGAAAGACACAGTAGGTTAAAAACAAAAAAGATACAGAGAAGGAAAAAACGCTGCAGTTACACTTTAATTATGTATCTACAGTGCTTAAACCAAGGAACTGACCCTGACCTCTGCTAAAAAGAAGTGGGAAGACAGCAAAACAGAACATAATGAAAACATGTAACGAATTATCTATGCATAAATTACCCTCTGAGTTCCAACTAATCCACTGCTATTGAGCTAAACATCCACTTCCAAACAGATTAGTGTTTACTGCTCCTTAACACCGTCATTTTTACTAAGAAAAGCAAGGTTTTCAAAATCAGTATTTCTATGTATAGTATGCGAAGGGATTAAATGTTAAAGGTTGTGACAAATTTCCACTCGACTTCTGTAGAGTATTAAGACCCTGCTGTTACTTTAAAAATCTACCAGCCCTAGTCCTGAACATGAAGGGAAGGCAAGGAAAAAATAACAAATTTTATATACAGATGGCACTAGTTTGGCTTCCCTTACTCTGAACATCATCTTTACTAGGAAATAAATTAAAAAATCCAACTTCAGAATTTACAAGAGGATTGTCATTAGTCCTGTCTTTATTTATTCCATTAAAAAACGTGCCAATGACCCAATATTTCAAGTCTCTCTTCTAGCAAAGTTCAACTCTCAAAAGGTCAAATTAAAATTTTCAGACTCCTGAGGGATACAGTCCTGAAAAGCTTCCCTGTACTCTTACAGTGAAATGTTTTAAGGGAATCCAAGCAAAAAAAACTTACTTCCTATTAGCTTCTGAATAGAGGAGCTAAAATTCCTCCACATTGCCACTCATTTCTTTTATCCAACGTGCAACTAATTTTACCTACTTAAATCAGTGAACTGATTTGCTTCAAATGGAACAGTTTTTCTACTTGAATGAGAAATATAAACCAAGCCAAGTCTGAAGCCTTTAACTTCAACTGACCAGGCTTCATAATCATAAAATATTAATCATGGTATTCTTTTTTTTCCACTTCCCTCTGAAATACCCATTATTGGCTGTAGTTAGGGAAGGGACACTGACCTCAGACAGGCTGGAGCACTGATGAGAAGGCTCGGATAATTTTCTCAGGTGACCAGCTGCTATTTTGCTTAAGTGCTATAGGTCATAATGATTACCAAACTCAGTGACAGGAAGGAATATATTCTAGTGAAAGCAGCAGTGACAATAGTGGTTTTCTTCTTTCCATAGCATGGAATAGCTCACAATTAGGCTGAAATATCAGCTTTATTAACACTGCTTAACTTAACATGGCTTATTTAAATGAAGGCTTAAGGTATCATGGTCCTAACATCTTTGAAATACAGAAGAGAGATACCTACACAAATCAGAATAATACTATCTTTCAGAAAGAACAGTGTAAAAGGAGTTAAATCAGATATTAAGATGCTACTTTTACTACCTGTGGAAAAAACGGGGGGTTTAATTAATATTATTAATAAAACCTTCTTTCCTATTCAATCAAATTAAGGTATCAGTAAGATAGATAGATGGTCTCTAGTGACTAGTTACATTATAAACCTAATACTCCTAATGAAAAAACTTCTGGAAAAACAGTTTAAAAAAAACCTCTTCATTTTTAAGGAAAAAGCCATACAAGAATCAAAATCATTGCCTTAAAATTTATATTCTTTGACTTTTGAAATTCCAGTGAATTTCACAGAAATAACAAAAGACTTTGCTTTACAAAATAACGTGTTCTGACTTCCTCTTAAGTTCTCTGAAGAAACTGGAATATATTACAAATACTTGAATATGATTCACAATTTTGAGGAAAAAATCCTTAATACCCACCTCAACACTTGCAGGCAAAAAAGTGTTTTTAAAAATCTCCTCAGGACACAGGAAACACAAGCAACGTGTATTTTGGTAGAATTATTTTACTCTGCATTTAAGGAAATACTGCTACTTTCTCTTTATTTTCAGGTTGTTTTTTTCTTTGGCCAATGCTCCTCCTTAATGCATGAATCTCAATCCGGATTAAGACAACTCATTTTATTTAAAAAAAAACAAAACAAAACCAGTGCAGAAAGGTTCTTGGGAATACTTTATTCTAGCCAGCTTTCTCTCTGCTCCCTGTCTGGTTCAACACTTTGATGCTCAGGCATCAATTGAGTGGGCCACAATCTAGATTCTTTTATCACTTTTCCTTCCATACTCCTCTGTCAAGACAGTTTGCAGAATTCAGCAAAAATCCTATGAGAGTTACAGAAATCTAGGTTTATTATTAACTGTTTCGTGACATGCCAGAAAAGATCTGGCCATTTCAGAAAACTGGGTATCTCTGAAAAGTCTTACAGAAGTCTTTCTCATTGTCAACATTTCCAATGGCCAACCTGGAAATCAGGCTATGAAGATTAAAAGCAAATGAGTATGATGACCTCCTTCTGAAGAATTTCAAAGGCAAGCAATGACTTGTTTAACTCAATAAACAATAATAAGCTCTCAGAAAATTCCTAAGAGGACTTAGATGATCTAAAACACCCTAGTAAAAGCGTAAGTACAACAGTAAATATGAGTATAGAATGCAGAGAACTTGATTAATCCCCATTACAAATTAATGGATCAAGAGACAAATGAGTGCATAGATTTGGTGATGCGTAAAATTACCCCAGGTGAAACAAGCTGTAGAAGTCTTTAGCAACATTCCATAAAGAGAAAATAAGCATTAGCAATCAAACTGACCAAGTTCTATACCTGCATGATGAACACTAATCAGCTAGTGTGTAATTTAGAGGCCTGGCAGCTGCAGAGAAAGCTGGAAGGACACCACTCCAGTTCCTTTTCATGATGAGACCATTCTAAAAATATGAATCAGTACCAGCATGCAAGAGAAGAAATTATAAAATGGCATATGAAGCAGGTGACAAGGAGGCCTCCAAAAGGGAGGAAAATTCCAGACAGAGGACCTGAAAAGCACAACCTTACCAAAATGAAAGAATCTCCCATAAAAGAAATTAAATGATGACTCAAAGAGCAAGGAAAACTAAGAAATTAACTTTCTTGCATGGAAGTGACTAATTTTTGACATGCTCTAAAAGGAAAGGTGATCCTTCTACCAAATCCTGGTGTAGCCCATAAGACCATCTTGGTTAGAGTCTCTGCTCTTGCAAATAACTCCATGCCTCTTTCATGAACCTCACGTTAGTAAAATGGGAATATTAACACTCGTTTTTTCTCTGGTGTTTGCGAGGATAAATGCTCTAAGATTAACGTGTGCAGATACTGTTTATTTTATGGGTTTGATTTTATGCTGTTTTGACAAACAACTATAAACTGCAGAATTATAGCAAATTATTATTTGCTATCATCAAAATCGAAATAAATTGATTTTTGACATTTTAGCCGTCACATGGAAGTTTGCCATATAACACCTCTTAATTTCATTATACAATGTGCTATAATACCATTACAGTTCTGCAACAAACACTACATACTGGACAAAGGACTGAATTCTTTTGCCAACTAAAAAGATGACTTCAGCAGAACCTGAATCACCCACCAGTCAATACTGGAATTTAAGTTTATGGTGGGACAGAAGAATAGCAGCACGGAAGTATTTTGCTCTAAATTTGCCAGGTCAAATCTTCTATTACCACAATGGAGGATCTGACTGCCCTACTCCGTGACACTGCATTGCAGCCTGGCTTCTTAATTTTAGTGTAACAAATGTAATCTGCAAAATTATTTTAATCATTTCATTTCAGCCATTTAGAATTTTCCCTGAGATTTCAGAAGTAATATACCCCAAAGTTCATTATTAAACCTCTTGAGAACACCTAGTTTACTCTCATTTCAACTACGCAGCTCTCAAATTTTACTGTATTGGCTTCCAATGTAGATTATATATTTACCTGAATTTCACCCCAAAGTAAAGTTATTTCCCAAATGATCAATGTGACCAATACTACCTTCAGTTATAACAGCACTGGCCATCTCTGGTTTGTTATAAATGAAGAGAAGGATGCATTCCCTCTGACTACTCGAGTGAGGCAAGGCAGAGGGAAATATTGGAAATACTGGCTATAGTTTTCATAGCGTATAAACATAGTTATAAAATCTGCTACGCGATATAGCAAAGTAATAAACTTACCACTCAAAAACAGAGGTGACATTTTAACTGAAAAAGATCATTTTAGGATTCAGCTGACTGTTTATTTATTGTGATATAATATACTACTTAAGAACATCCTCTATCTTAAGGCATGAAATACTTGTAGGATTGAGTAGAAAGCAAAAACAGAGTATACACAGTAGCATATTTCTCCCTTAGCCTTATATTACAAACACCACAATAAAATCATTCATATTCATCAATGAGGGTAAAAGACTGTCATCCACAAATGTGCTTCAGTATGTCAGTCGAGTAGAGTTTTAGGATGGGAAAGGGACTAAGAGGAAGAGATCCTGATGATGATGAGCAAGATGCAGATTCACAGGTGCAGCTGCAATGAGAAGCCAGTCTTGTCTTGCATGTTGATAAACCACGCTTGAGTCAGCACTGAACAGAAGATGTTCCTACCTGACAGGGAGTCGGGCCCTCTGAGCCAGCAACAGTTCTGTGGGTCCAGCGAGGTTTATCTCCCCATCCTGAAAGGATGCCTGGGAAGCACCCTGTTGAGAGATTTCAAAGCATACTTTGAAACTATGTACGTATTTATGCATGCATAACAATGGTTATATTTATATTTTTAGCCAGTATTTGGAAGGGAAAACAAGCCGTAAGTAAGAACATCTCACTGACAGTGAGGACTGAAAGACCCATTCTGTATGTAGCAGAAGTGACAGCATTCAGAGAACCAGGAGGGTATCTAAAATGCTGCTCCTCACACCAGTCCCACCATGCTTCCACTGGAGAAGCTCATGGTACTGCTTCCTTATCTGCCTGTCTAACCCGAATGCCAACTTCCCAGCCTGAGCTAACCTCCTTTCTCTCAATAGATTCCACAGACCTTGGATAAATCAAACAGCTTTTTTTATGCTCTATCTCTTAATAGCATTTATCTGGTAAAGCCATATTTTCACGGTAACTTCACAGAAAAAGAAATTATATAACAATTTGGCCAGACACAAAAATACAGTGCACATAGGGACATGACATTAATGCTAAAGCTCTTGAAAACTATTACTCAACTTTCTTTCTGTGATCCTTAGACTCTTAATGTTTGCATTTTTTTTTTCATACTGGGAGAGGGAAAGAGGTACCAATGAGATAAGACCACTGTCAGCAGGTGATATATTAGCGTTAATGTACTGTACTTCATTGTGACCCTTATGGCAATACTGTAAACAGAGCAAAATCCATAACAAAGGCCTTCTTTGGAGGGGTCACTTCTGCCAACTCTGCAACAGGAATATAGCTGGAAGACATAAATCTTCAGCTGTCAACACACTAAAAGAATTCAATTCAGAGCTTGATCTTAACTGGATAAAGCCTGAAGTTAATAATTATTTTGTTGTTGTTGCAGTGGTACAGTTTTCCAACATATATACTTGCCACATCAAGTTGTCTCAAGGAAAAAGGTAGCGATGTTATAAATTAATTCCAAAGAACAAAGCCAACTAGATAGGTAATTTAATTTTCAATAAAGGTTCTACACTGTATATTAAAACATCCAATTTCTCTCAAAAGATGGCTCTACTCAGAAAAACGGCTTGCAAGGTTTGGTGTTTTTAGTCCCTCAAAGATTTGTAGCACTTATTTTCAGTTTATAAGTATCAAGAGAGTTTGGGGCAAGAGTGAGCTGCTTTGTGTTTTAAAAAAGAATCATGACCAGCCTTGCAAGCAAACCTTGTACTACACATCAAGCTGGATCCCCTTTTGGTTCACACGGTGCTTTCGCACCTGTAATATTGGTAGCGATTCTCCTTGAGTGTTAACCAGAGCACAAGCCAACAGACTTGGCTTCCACTGCAAGACCAATATAGCTCACTGAAAGCAAACTTCTGTCACTAATGGAAGAACTATTTTAAAAAACCTGTACTGAGTATGAGTATGTGTCATCTCTTCCCATTACTTCTCACAGTGGAATCACACATCAAGAAGCAATTCTTTGTTATATGAAGCATATTCCATACTAACCTCATAAATCAGGAAAACAACCTGTAGCAGTGCATTAGCAACAGAAATCTGACACACAGCCTTCATATGTTGACTTCATCTCGAAAAAAGATTACGCTTTGGTAGCAACAGATACCAGAGGCGGACAGATCTCTTAAAAATAATGCTCCAAACAAAGCTAACCTTCTTGAGCTAACCACAGAAAACACTGGTGCTACAAAGGCTCTTCTTTTTGGAGGGCTGAAAACAGCCAAACCAGAAGCAGATTTGGGGTTGTGAATTAGCTAGACTCTTTTCTTCCAGACACTGGCTGCAACAGAGTGCTGCTCAGTGCATGACAGAACTTGCTACTCATGCCTCAGAACTGTTTTGCTATTTAAAGCCTCCCTTGCAGGTTACACAAGTCTGCAGAAGCTATGTTATTTCTCTGTTTCTGGGCTTTTGGTTACTGTTGTTCTTGCTGTGATGAGGTTACATTCATACTTGTCTGCCACCTCCGCTTCTTGGGAAACAGATTTCACTGTAATGACAAATACTGCTGTTCAGAACACAAGCCCATCTCGTGTTTCTGTTGACCGATTCTCAGGTTTTAAACCACAAGGAACCATTTTTTCGATCAACAAGTCTAATCTCATACTTACATTTGTTTAGTGACACAGCACAACATTGGTAAGGGCACAGTTACACTCTGAGATGGGGGGTTCTGACAAAAACACAGCAACCAACAGCTCTCTTGTCTGTTGAAGACCAGACCAGCCAAAAGTGTCTTGTAACGGCATAAAAGGATTATTATAGATATTAGGGGTATCAGACCTTCAGTAGAGGTCTTCAAGAACAGATTTATAAACACGTCACAAAAGTTTCAAGGCATGTTCATTCCTGTGCCAGAAAATAATGGTGCAGTCTTGAAAGTGCCTGACTCTCACGTTTCCACATTTTCATCACGCCACAAGATAAAACCTCTAGGAGGAATTAAGAGGATGAAGTTTGGAGTCCGTAATCAAAATTGCAGCTTGCTTGCTTCTGTTTTTTTCCTGGGTGGTTTTTTTTTTGTGATTTTTGTTGTTGTTGCTGTTTTGTGGTTTGTTTGGGGATTTTTTATTTCAGGGTAAAAGCTCCTAAAGAAAAGTTACCCTCTCCTGAGCTGGCAGAAGTGTGCCAAGAGACTTCAGAAATGCCACAGGGGGAAGATCAGTGTCACAGCCCCTATCCTACACACCACTGCCTGGGTTTGAAGGCATATAGTGCTCACACATATCACAAATCATCACATGCTCAAGTCTGTACACACAAAACCAGATATATTTAGAGGCTTAACTGATCAAAAAACCATGAATCATAACACTGAAATTATAATTGAGCTCTCAGAGAATGACATTAGAGCTCCAGTCACGTAACAGTAGCTACAAATGGACAGATGCCTTTCATACTTCAGCATTTCATTAGAAACACAGTAAATCTGAACAGATCATCATCTCCTGCTCAGCTAGCAGCATGACAGCCAACCAGCAATGCACAGGGTAAAGATGCTATTAGAAGACAATGATCCAATACACACAAAAATTCTCAATCTCTTGTTTATATTTTAAAGACCGATTGTCAGTTTTTCAGTAGTAGAAGAAATAATTACACTGACTCACAAAACTTGCATCAGATTCAGCTGACAGTCTAATCAGTCTAATAGATTTACAGCAACATCATTGCAGTTTTCACTTAGGAAACAGGAATAAAATCTAAAATGATGTGGTAAAAATAAAAGCCAAGAAAGCATATGCATCTAAGAACAGGGGAAGTTTTTCAATTTATCTACATAGAGATAATTTGAATTAGACAATTTTTCTTAGTGCTGCAAAAGGCATGTTCTTCGAATTAGGACTGAAGCAGAAGAGACAGTGCCTAGGAAATAATAGCCCTCTGCAAACAACAGTAACCCAAATGCTTGAAATACCTGATATTTATTATGTGACAGCTCTCAAATTAGGTATATACCTATGTGTAGCAGTAGTAAGAGTGTCAGAGTACATAAGAGCAACATTTTCTACTCTATGAACATGCACAGACTTCTCAATTCAACAGTCAGCATGGACATAGATTAGCCCCAACTATAAATCTGCCTGGATGAGTCATAGGTCTTACTGATATTAGTGAGCATGAGAATTCTCCATTTGTTCTTTAATTTTTTGAAAATGCTTATTGTATTAAAAATACAAAATGTCTAGGGGAAAAAAACAATAGTGGCACTTTTGGACAGAGACATGAAAGTATCAGTTACTGGAGAGAGAGAGAGAAGAGAGAATTGACTGAAAACAGTCAAAACAACCATTTTTATTTCAAACAAAGGGTGCAGCCCTGAGAAGCTAACACAGCAGACGGCTACCCTGACAGCCAGACTACTGACCAGCCCCACTGCTCTGATTTTTCACTACCATCACAACCCAGAAAACCTGGATTTTCATATCTTAAACTGCACCAGATCCGTCTTCCAGATAAACCCTGGTTATAGTGTAGTTTTGCATGACGTTTTAGCTAAAAATAAATCTTTTGCTGAGGTGGCTCTGTAGCAAAATTTAGACATTCATCCAAGCGTGGACTAGACCACCTAGCCCAGTAAGACCGCTTTAGAAATATTTCATGGACCACCAATGGGCACAAAAGGGCCCTAAATCACCTCAGTTCCCTCTGGTAGGCTCAGAACACTATTCTTAAGGGAGGAACTAATTTTGCAGGTAGTATAAAATTGCAAATATATCACTTCTATAAAAGCTATGTAGCAAAAACCATCCCCTTCTACTTGAAAGAAAAAAATCTTATTGACCAATAACCAACAGGAGACAAATCTCAGAACCAGAAAAATTTAGAGAATAGGAAGTCTGCATAAACAACTGGAGAAAATTCTGAGTGCAGGGTATACTTGGAGTATAAAATGGTCATCAAACACTAAAAATAAACTTGAAGGAAATAAATAACAACTATTAATAGAAGAAATACCCATAGTATCTACTCAAATTAGGACTGAAGCAGGCTGCTATACCCAAGGGAAAGTATCTTTATCTGAAGCTTTCTTTTAATGATAAAGTTAAAAGTGAAAATGTGTGTCTGAAGTTCCAGTTTACGGTATTGTATTCCCTGAGGGCATCAGCTTTTTAAAACAAAGGAAAGGCATCCAAACCCTAAAGCAGAAGGTCATGGAGCAGGGTGGCAGGCTGCAGAGCTCCCTCTCCCTACTTGGCCAACAGTAAACTTTCTTCCAAGAAGGTTCACTGAGAGTTCAGATCCTACCAACATAACAAACAGTCAGATGCAAGGAAACCTGGGGGTGAAAGGGATGCTTAGTTTACAAATGCAGGAAATGTCTCATCTACTGCTCCCACAACAGACAATTTTCATTACCATATTTAAAACATTTTTAGCCACACTTTCAGGATCACATGAGCATCTCTGACAGCCAGAATGAGTTTAAAAAGCCATAGCATTATTTTTAGCTTTAAAAACCAGCACTTTCATAAATATTCCCAAACCAATTAGTCCATGTTACAAAGTAAAGGTGTTTACT